TATTACTTGGGATAAATGCAGGGGGTACCTCTTGAGTTAATAGCCTACAAAGATTGGCGAATCAAGGGGTCTAGCCGGCCTCCGCCGCCTGGTACATCTACTTCTCAAGCAAGAGTGACGGCGACTGAGTAACACCAACGTTAACTCATAGTCACTCCCTCAAACTTGGTATGGAACTTAAAAGGTTTGAGTAGACCGCCTATTTTTTGGCAAACAGCGGCACTCAAACCCCTATTCCTACTAGGTAACCTCTTGAGTTAATAGCCAACAAACATTGGCGAATCAAAAGGATCAGCCGGCCTCCGCCGCCTGGTACCTTTACTACTCAAGCAGGAGTGACGGCGATTGAGTAACTCCAAAGTTAACTCATAGTCACTTCTTCATCCTTAGTATGGAGCCTAAAAGGTATGAGTCGTCCGCCTGTTTTTCGCAAACAGGGACTCTCAACCACTACTCCTGCTAGGTTAACAACTTATGAGTTAAAAGCCAACAAACATTGGCGAATAAAGGGGAACAACCGGTACCCACCGCTTGATACCTCTACTAAGTTCCTTGGCAACTAAGTAACAATCATGTTCACTTGGTCAGACCACTTTCCTACTTGGTTAAATTTACAAATGACAAAACTGCCTGCCTAAAAAGGATCCAGTCTTTAAAATAGTTCGAATACCAATTAGATAAATGGCCGACTGATCGTCTATCCTGGAAACAAACAACCAGTCGTCCAGGGGCATAGGCGGCGTGACTAACGTGACTAACTATCCGTACCTGTCTGCAACTATCGGCCATGTAAAACAGTCGGTCTAGTGAACAATTGGATATTACAATATTCAATACTTAGACAAATTTGAAGCAAAACAAATATTCATTAAAGTGAAGCCGGTCATTAAAGACCGGCAAAATATTCAGAGCCCCGGCCCCCTGGCTGAGTAAATACAAAACAAACGGCACGTAGGCCGTGGAAAGAATACATAAAGCTTAAGAAGGGGGCATATCTTCAATATTAGCAGCTGCCGCCTGGTCATCACTCTTCTTGCTGGACTCGGCTTCAGCTACATCCTTTTTTGATACATTACCCCCAAGCGGCACAAGCGACACTACCGGCTCCTCCTCCTCCAACGCTTCCTCCAACGCCTCTTCCTCAGCAGCCGCCAAGATCTCTTGATTATATGTATCAGAACACTGGCGGTATGTTTTTTCCCATGAGGCAAAGTCGGCATTGGGGAAGAGGTGGCCCCAAGTCATGCGCTGGATTTGAGCAGAGTCTTCCATCATCTCCCGGACCAGCTCTTTCTTTTCTTGCTCGGCCTATTCCGAGAGCTCCTGGGTAAGACTCTTCTCCTGGGTCACCAGGCGTTCCTTTACGTTGGCCAAGGATTTCTCCAAGGCTTCGTATGAGTACATATTTAGGCGAAGAGGTTTCAGCTCGGCCTTGAGATTGGTGATGGTCGCCTCCAGTTCGCCATTCCTCTTATGGGCCGCCTCTAACTGAGCCCGAACAGCGGCGGTAGCCTGCGCCTGATAATAAAGAATATCAATGGTCAGAACTTCATTTTGTGCAATTTGAAACATTGCCTTATCACAGTCAGAGGCGGCCATAGCTTTTGCAGCCTTTACCTCTTTGTTCTTCCGGTCAAGCGGCTTGCGAAGGCCGTTCACTCGGAGCAGGGCCTAAGTAAAAAGGAAATGGCGTCAGTTTCCAAACAAAAAAGAAAACAGGCGTCCAGAAATTCAAATACTCAAAAATATGCTAAGTATACCTCAGCAAGGACCCATGCAATCCCGTCTAGGTCAAGGGTGCCGACACCCCTGACCGCCTCCCTTTCAGCTGGAGGAACGGCCCTGATCATAGACTTGGCCACCTCTACCAAGTCAGGCTCCTGAGGGCCGGCTGCATCAAGCATAAACAAACGGATTAGACCTAGTAAAAAAGGGAGCAAGTCTAAAATTTACAAGGACAACTTCATACTTCTAGGCGGCCCAGTTGGAGTTTTAGAAGAAGTGGCCGACTGTTTCTCAGCCGCCACATGTTTCCTGGCAGAACCAGGAGAGCTCGCAACAGTCGTCCTCCGGGCCTTGGGGTCCGGCTGTTGGGAAGAAGAAGCCCTTGGAGCACCCGTCTAAAAAAAAAAAAAAAAAAAAAAAAGTCAGTATATGCATAAACACAACTCCAAAAAAAAAGGGTGAAAGGTTCGAAGCCCTCCAAGGTGCCCCCTTCTTGGGAGAGTCGGTTGAAGCTTGTTGCATGATGGAGGCCCGCAACATGGCCGCCGCAGTCTTGGAGGCGGTAATTTTGCTCATAGCGTCCGCTGCAAAAACAAATAGCAAAGTTAATAAGTCATAATAAGAAATGTATGGAACAACAGAGTATTCGACAGGCCGACTACCTCTTGAGCACCGACTGCTGAGGCCACAGGCGGCCAAAAAGTACTCGTCATAGAGCCATTTGAAGCTCGGGACGCAGTGCAGGGGTACTTGCTCTCGTACCCCTGAAGTAGAGTCGACCCTTGACTCTACTTTAAGGAGTCCTTTATCCAGGATCTCTTTCTTAGCCTTGGGGGGAACAGGCGGCATGCTGCGGCCGCCTGCAAGAAAGGGCAGATTCCTGTTCCACCTATTGAAGCGCTTGTTCAGCTCAGTGTCTGAACTCTCAATGATGAGGAAGGTGCTCCGCCAGTCCTTCCACTTGTTTGCTTTACCTCTCGTCATGAGGTAGCCCCTGTGGCTTGTCAATTGATACCAGCCGGTACCGCCTGCCTTAGGGGTCCGGCTGAGATAGTTCATATGGGCGAAAGCCTCGAAGCTCGGCTTCACCCCGTGCAGTTAGCACCCGGCCACATAGCCGAGTACATTGACCCAGGAGTTCGGGGCTAACTGCCATAACCCCAACTCATACCCATCCAAGATCCGCTGAACAGCCGGATTCAATGGGAAGCGCAGCCCAGCCTTGATGGCCGCCTCGTAGCAGCCAAAGCAGGCGCTATCATAACTGGTACCAGCCGGCCAGACGACTGTGTCTTCTAGATCCGGCACAAACACTAAAAAGTCGGGGCCCATTGTGTGGTTTGCGATAAAGCTCTCCACTTTCTCTTGCATGACTGTGATCCGGCCCCGAGGTACCGTGCAGTAGTAGGGGGTATTTTGCTCTCGGTAAGAGGCGAATGGCTCCGCCCAATTGTCCCCCTTCTCAACTGCGTGAGAAAGCCTCGCCTCTTGCAGGCGGCTGTTTTTCTCTTCTGTGTCCAGAGAAGCATGGCCAGAAGAGCTAGACTCGGAATCGCCCTCTGACGAGTCCGAAGAGGACGACTCCTCCCCTCTCCCGGAGGGGCCCGCCTCCTCTCTTTGAAAAGGAGCAGAATTGTTAATTGTTAAATGGGAAGGGGTCACTAAGACTCCTCCCTCAGAATTGCCGGCTTTCAGGCCGCCTTGTTTCACTTCCACATCTGGCGCCTGGTCAGATGTTTCACTAATCGGCACCCTGTGGGAGGAGCCGTCTGAATTTGAGATCCTAGCAGTCTTTTTCGTTCTGGCCATCCTGCTCTGCATAGACACAGATACAGTCGGACTTTGTATAAAGGGCAAAGATAGGTCCGGAAAAGGGCAGGCGACACTCCTAGTCCTAGATTCAGCCGTCCCCGGTGACCGACTGATCACTAACCTAGGTCGTGTCGTGTGCTTCCGTGGTGCCATTTCAAAAAAGTAAAAAAGAAAATTAAGAGTAAGAGAACCGACAGTTACTTGAACGAGTGACGATTGATGAAGTTCTGAAAATCCTTTGCAGTCGGCTTGTCAGAACAGGCGGTAGGCAGAAAGGGTCCAAAATGTCAGAGCAAGTTCAGGGGTCCGAATGTTCTCAAACAGTTCTCAAGTGTGAAAATGACTCAAGTCAACACTCCTTTATATAGGCGAAGTGAGAAGGCGAAGGGTCACTTCCAGAATTCAAAATTTGGGCGGGAGAATCTCTCGGCCCTTCGCCGAGTGACACCTGTAGCATGCCGTCGCCTGTTACAGTTCGACACCTGTCACAGGTAACACGTGACCAGTCACGTGCCACCTGTGAGGGGCAAATGATTAGGGGATTTTGCTCCCACCAATCACCATCTGACAAGTGGATCAATCAGGTTCCGCCATGTGTCCGTCACATGGGCCAATAGGAGCCTGCCACGTGTCAAGCAATGATCCGTCCACCTTGGACCTGTTACGACACGACATGTGTCCTTCCCATAACACCTGGGATAACCGGCCACCCAGGCCCAACTTCCGAGGGAAGCCCAATCAACCCTAGGTTAACCTAAACCTAGGATTGGCATGTTTCCCAAGGTTATAAATACCTCCCTTAATCCTCATTAAGAGGGATTAGATTGATTACACAGAGATTTACACAGAGTTACAAGCAGATTACGCTAAAACTCACATCAAACACTCTCACCTAGAGAGACCCACTCACTTTAATTTCCGCATTAATTACTCCTTAATCAAGTACTAACTTGACCGTTGGAGGCGGAGCTCCCACCACCAGGAGTCTCCGTTGTTTTGCAGGTACAGGCGTCCGGTTCCAGTCTCGGAATTGTAACTCTCCCGCAGGACATCAGAAAACCCCGAAACAAATTGTACATCTTCAGATTATTGCACTAGCTCCCTTTTGTGTCGAGAGTTTACTTTGAATAGATGGAGGTACTTTAAACATCAAAAAGAGATTAACGAGTAATTTTACCAAAAATAGATGCTATTAACGCTTTTGATTCGTTGTTATTAGTTGACATTATTATTATTAGACTCCCTCTATCACAGAATAACTGATAACATATTTTATGACAAAATATATTTTTATTATGTTAGTAAAAAATTATAGTCAAAGTTAATATATAAATAGTGAAAAAAGTCTAACGTCTCAATTATTTTAGGACGGAGGGAGTATTCAATTAAATGGTGAATAAGGTGTTACAAACTTCCAAGTTATTACTATGAAATACAATCAATTGAAAATTCAAATTAGTTACCTTTTCAAAGCAAGGAATGACTTTTGCGAGAGCAATGAATCTTTGGCTAAGTTTGTCTCTTCTACGTCGTTCCGCAATAGCATGGTATTGACTCAACAAACTAGAGTTTAAAGCCATGGATCCAGTTCTGTTGTTACACCCACGGCTTTCTTTCGCCTCAGGGACCTCAAAGCCACCACGATGTAGAGTTCCGTCGACACCGATTTCGCCAAAGTCTTGATCATCAGTCGTGCAAGAAGATAAGGCTCTCTAAAGACGGAGTCGGGCTGTATTGAAAGGACTCCATTTATCCCTAAAATTGACCGAGATTATTAGAAAACAGAAAATGAACCATTTTTAACTAGCATAGCTAATATATAAATCAAATAAATTGTTGATAATCTTACCAATTTAGTATCAATGAATTGAAAATTGTACCAATCTAAGTTTGCTACTTATAATTAAGGAATCCACCGCTTTAATAATCGATTTTTTTTGTACTGAATTAAACCAATAAACAAAAGATGGCATGGATAGCGTGAGCATAAAAGATAATAATATCAGTGTCATTATTAGAATCATTGACGATTATACAATAAGATCATCCGGTTGTGTATTTTGATAACGTGTGTTAGTAATTGGTCTCACGCAACTACTCCCCGTAAATAAATACAAAAAAATACTTGGTTTAGTGGTAATAACTGTATCTAATAACTATAGGTTTGGAAAATTACTCTCCACCTACCACATGTGAATTGGATCAAGATTCCCTTGCCCTCACTCTTAAAAGGTTTGCACTCTTGCTTGTTAATTCGAGTAGGGTTGACATGTGACAGGTTCCAATTTAATAAAATGTCTTTTCCCTTTAAAAAAGCTACTCGTAATTTATAACACAATACTAAAACAGACACCATGTGACACATGTTACTTCCTGGCCTGAAGCTAGTTTTTTCCATTAATTTTTTTTGCCTACGACATTAGCTACTTATAGTAAAATTTACAATCTATAATTGTATACACTTTCCTACAAAAAGATATACTAGTAACGGTGATTCACTTCAAAATTCCTAAAAAAATATAAAATTGTGATTCACATATTTTACATATCTTTAATTGTACAAAATATTATTCAAAATCTATTACTTTGTATAATTTTTGTTACCACCAATTTTACAAGTACAAATCAAAATAAAGACAAAAGTAAAAATAAAAAATACAATATAGCTTAGAAACATAAAGATTGAGCATAGAAAAAGAAAATAAATAAATGGGTAAAAATGTGTACACCGGAGACCAAAGGAGTAACATATATCACAAATTTTCATATGTGGCCGGTCACATGGTGTGGCAGGGGTTACTCGGTCGGTGTTTTGGTATATGTCAGCTTGTCGCACAGTGTGGCCAGTTTTACAAAAAGTGCATATACTTGTACAATTTAAAATAGTAGAATTTACAAAAAAGGAAAATTATTTAATTACAAAAGACAAGGGTTGACGTGCTATACTGGGCTTTGGGTCCATGGATCATGCTTGATGTGCTAGCCCACAGGCCAAAATTGAACTCGAATAGGCCTTAAAATAGGCAGAGGGTCGAGCCCATATCACATAAACCGAGCCTGGACCTTGTGTTCCCCTTGACAACAACGGGCTGGACTGGTTTTAACGTGGGCTAGGCTAGGCGGCGGGCATCTTTAGGTTTGCCCTGTTTGCAACATATTAGTCTCGTGCATGTTGCATTATTATTCCTCAAGATTCGTGCTTGTAAATCGTTCATTCTATATGCAAGTGAATGCAACATATAGAAACGATGTTATTATGATTGATCAACTGTTATATCATGAACAAACATACCTTACAACACCATGTTCCCACTAGTTATAGGTAAAAAAAATCTAGATAAGATGTGATGAGAAACGCTCTAAATTTGCTATTAGGGGTATTATTATTTCAAAGGCGTTAAAATAAATAAATAAAAAGTAACATGTGTAAAATTTTATCATTGACTTTCAGAAGTATTACACAAGGACATACATAGTATATATGTAGCACGCACAAATTGGTTTCAATTCTAAACTTTCAAAGTGTTGCTTATTTTTTGTAGTAACACTTTTAAGTCTCAACCATTATGTTACATTGGTTGGATGTTAAACATAACCATTGCATACGAAATTATATACTACGTAGTATATTTGTTGACAATGAAATAGCCACACTTTTACAAAGCTACAATGATGCGTCAACCTTTATTTGGTCCTTAGAGTTTAGGGGCTAGCGACGAGGAGAGCCGAGCGAAGAGTTTTAATAAGATCTTTCATCTTGTGGTTGAACCCCCTTTCCATCTACATAAATCAAAATCAAAATAGCTAAGCTAGATTTTGTCTAGTTTTTCAAACCAAGTAAAGAACAGTAATAATCATTGATTGATGATATTTTCCTTTATATATAAGTGGTATATTGTTGCATTAATAGTTAATATAATTTTGTAACAAAAGGAAATGGAAGAAGGTTTGATTACCTGTGCAACGATTGTAATGTCCATGGCCTTATTGTCAAAGGGAATAGTGCTACAATTAACAACCCTCAAATCGTACTTCTCTACCTCTTTAAGTATTGTCGTCAAAATCCCTTTCCTTTTCTCACAAAAGACGTTCAAGAGGATCTTCTCGTCGAATACCTTTAACAAGATTTCTGGAAGTATAATATCAAGATTGGCAGTATTGCTAACATCGCCGCTGGTGGCTGTGTCATCTTCATCATTTTGTTCTTTACTACGTATCACAAACTATATATATATATGAAACATGAGGAAAAGTGTACAAAAAGTGTAGTAAGAAGAAATTTCACATTATATCATCTAAAAACATCTTGCAAATTTTTGGGGTATAATGTATTTATAGAGCTCAGATAATCAGAATAATTATATGGATAGAAATACCCCGTATTAAATACCCCGTGTTAGATTAGTGGTCATTGATTTGAGATCCCCTTTATGTAAAAGGATATTGCTAACGAGCTTTTCGGGGCATTAGATTACTAATTAATAGTAGTATATTACTAAAAATAATATATTATTAAAAATAGGAAAGCATGTCAAAATCACGAGTAGATCAGTGTAATTAATGTTTATTTTACTTTGATATTTCCACTTTAAATTCTCTTATTTAACGCCCCTAATATAAGTGTAATTATTCGGCCTAAATCCTAAATGGATCTTGTTAACGAACGCTCCTGGGCGTTAGATAAGCATTTAAAAATTACTTGAAGTGGTATTAATTTGGGATTGCTTGACAAAATCACGCGTCGATCGATGTAATTAATGTTCATTTTAATCTAATATTTCTAGTTTTAGTTATCTTATCCAATGCACCTGAGACGTTCGTTAATTATTGCCACATTAAATTGACCAAATATGCAAGTTCTACTCCATAAGAAAGTGATTATCCAAATATTTTTTGTTTATCAATATATATATAATATTTGCTAAATATTGTTTGAACATGCTAATATTAAATCAATTCCAGTAGACATAAAAGATCTTTCCATAAGGCCAAAAATAACACCAGTTATTTAGGTAATGACCAACTAAAGTATATGTCATTACCAAACACACAAACATATTTGATACAAAAATCGAACAGTTTTACGGGACAAACCAAGGAGTTGTGACGGAAAAAAAAAACGGCGGGCTCTCTTCTCCAATTTAATTTGCCTAGCATAATCCATCGTTATACCAATCCACTAACATTATAGGCCAACAATCGAGAATTTATCTTCGTTTTCTTAAATCTAAGAATTCATATACTTGTTGAGTAATCAAATTGGAACCCTTAATGCAAAAAAATTCGAAAAAACCAAATAACCACTAAATCTATGACATATGAGCAGCGATTAATAGAAGAAACACGTTGTAACAAAACGAATTAATGTGTATTATGATTATTGATCAAGAGATATAAGATGGGTGTTTAATTTTGGTTGAACAATGTGAAGAACATCATGAACAATGAAGAACAGTACATGAAGAACATGATGAGCAATTTTTTTTTTTTTTGAAACCTGATGAACAATTTTTTAATTTTGATTTAATTTTATTTTGATTATTAACAAGTAGTAATTAAATTAGAAAATAACAAAAAAAAAAAAAAATCGGAAAATATTAAAAAATAATTTCTCGAAATTAAAAATATATTTAAAATAATTAAAAAAATAATTTTTAATTAAAATTACTAATTAAAAATAAATCAAAAAACAAATAATCTCAATCATCCATTTTAAAAAATTGTGGTAGTCAAAAGTCATGACTACATTAGAATTTTCAGTTAAGAAAGTATGATACATACTATCAAAGTTATTTCATTTTATTTTTCAAAATATCAATATTAAAAATTAGTACTCTACGTAGCAAACTAGCAACTACAGGAAGTGGCGATCAAGGACATGGATGACTGAGACTGTTATTCAATTCCACGAATTGAATGTTAAAAAGTAAAAGTCATTTCACAATTTCACAATGGAGAAGAGATAAATAATGGAAAGCATTAACTTCACATACAAACAACAGCTCATACGACCCTCCTGCCGTATGCTTTGTATTATTATGTCGATTATTTAATTACATTGTTAACATGACTATAAAGTTCGAATTATTTAGAAAAAACTTTTTTGCAAACTAAAAATCTATACAATCCAACAAAAACAAAAACAAATAAAACTTACTCGGCATGCTTCCATTATAAATCTTTAGGTAAATATTTAACTAGTCTTCACACTTTCTCTTTTCTGCAAGCTTTAAAGCCAGATTGAAAATCAATAAAGAGTTGTTATATTAAAATTAAAATGGAAATCACTATACAATGAAGGAAAAAGGAGAAAATAATTGTACCTGCGGAAGCTAAAAAATATGAATAGATGTTGTGTAGAGTTGGGAGGAAGCAAGACTTAATATTTGATTATGAACACTTTATTGAAGAAGCTTAGTTTCTTTTTATAAGTGGATCGGAATTTTTTATTTGCCTTTTTTTTAAAATTGTAAACCTTATCCGACGAATAAAACTTAAGGAAACAAAAAAAAAAAATAGTTATTCTATTGTTTAAAAACTACTCCGTATTATTATTTATGAAAGTAGCATTAGTTGTGAAGTCTTGTTGGACTCAGTCTCATTTTTTAGAAAATTACCATATAATAACTTTTACAAATATATAATTAAATATCTTAACAATCAAATAGAATTTTTCTTTTTTAATTTGAAGATGTGTAAAAGAAAAAAAATGAAAATAAAATAAAATGGAGGTAGTATATAGTTAATAATATACATCGTAGTATATGTTAAATTTACAGTATTTTACAATCACATTATTTCTAATTTTAAAACTTAAAAATTCCACTTTCAAATTTATCTTGGTAAATGTTGTTAAACAAAAAAGAAGTTTATGAAATGCAGGGAACATAAAAGTTATAAAATTATAAATTACTCATTTCGTATCAGATCACAACGTTCAACTTAAATATTTAATAGAGTATGCAACATATTTTTAGGTCCCAACCATCAGTTTAACCTTTTAGTTGAATTGATCCTCTAACATGGTATTAGAGATGATTGAGGCTAAATAATGTATTTTATACTCTATCAATATTCTATATAGAAGTTCTTCTAATTTATAAAGGATGGTTTCTTTTGAAGTTATTAAGTTTTACGTATCACGCACCAATATATTGCAAAATAAATACATATAAAAGGTTATGTTTGTTGTGCGTGGCAAGTGTTTTAATTTTGAACAAAAGGATGAGATTCTATACTTGCCTCCTCCAATATTTTTTATTTATTTATTTTTTATCAAGATCCGCAAATGATACATAACTTTTATTATCCTACTTTTCTTAATGTTACATTATCTACTTTGTATTAAAGTTTTCCTTTTTTCTTTTACTTAACCAAGTACTAACTGTACTATATTTATTTATTTTATATCCATTCATTTTTTTTAATCATATATTTGTAATACATTATTTACTTTTAATTCATAAAAACAACACAAATTTACAAATTTTGCTAGAAACAAAAAAGTTATGATAAATGATTCAGATAATATAAGTATAACAGAGAAAATTACGAGTAATTTTTAGGAGTACTTAAAAAAGAAAGTGTTGAAAGGGAGAAAATTACGATTAAGCACACTTTTATGTTTTATCATGTTTTAGGAGAATGATGATGTAAAGGAGTTAGCATGTAGAACTGTCTCGCGTCCCCTCTCGAGGCTCTTCTAGAAACCCCCGTGCAACGCAAGGGCAATCTCTTTTAGTTTTGCTTTATTTTTCTAAATTTGTTTATTTATTTTAATTTTATTTCCTTTTTGCTCTGATTTTTTTATTTATAAATAAAGGGTATTAAACACTCACCAACTCGTCATATCAATGTCTTTGTCTACTTCTACATACATTGCAACAAGCCACAATGTTACAAAATAGATAGTCCTCATCTTTTGAAGTGCCCTAATAAGACGATTCTAACAAAGTATTTCTATGATTATATTTAATTTTATGAATAATTCAATAACATTAGCCAAATGATATATATGAATAGCACAAAATTCGAATTAGGAGGTTAAAAAGTACTACAAAATCAGCACGTTTTCTGTATGTATGACTGACCGACACACACCAAAACACTGACCGGGTAACCCCTAACCAACTGAGTAACCTATGACCAATCGAGTAACTCTCTTGACCGACCGAGTAACCCCTGTCCGACCCTTAATTGAGTAACTCCTGATCGATCGAGTAACCCCTTTCCGATCAAGTAACTCTCTTGACTGATCGAGTAACCCCTGATGATCAAGTAACTCTTATAACCCCTGACCAACTGAGTAACCCCTGACCAAGTAATCCTAATCACCTGGTGCGGCCAACCACATATGAAACTTTAAAAAAAAAAAAAAAAAAACTTCCTCCATTTCTCTAGGCTAATATTACAATAACAATTACCATTATTTTAAAAAGTTTCTCAAATATTATTGCAATATTATCATATATATGGACATGTTTCTCTCAATCTCTCTTCTCATTGCATTACTCCCTATCCTTATTTCTCTTTATCTCTCTTTTCATCTTAAATTTTGTATTTTTCTCTTTGTTGCAATATTAGAAATGCGCAGAAATTATCTCTCTGCGGGCAGAGTTGTGAGCAAATTAGATCATGCACCTTGTCCATGCTGGCTATGGACTACTATGGTTACCCTCCCCACCACCCTAAAAGAAAATCTACTTTTTATTTTAAGATTTATTTTTTTTTAAAAAAAAAAATTAGGTTTTAAATTTCCATTTCAAAATTGTAAAGTAGCTTTATATTTGCGAATTTCAAAGGGAGAAAAAGCAATTTAAAGTATATATATGTCATTGTAGTGAAAGAAAATTCACCTGTTTAGCTAGAGATTAATGAAAGACAATTTATGAATTTCAAAGCAATTGTGGAGTCGATATGGTTGTTCCAATAGATCTAATAGTAGGGAGATAAATTGAAAAACAAAGAAAGGTAACTTTTGATTTATTTTAGTTTTTTGTAATTTTTTTTAAATTTCGTGTTATTTAATTAAATGAGGTTGAAGATATGATGTTCATCTAATTATGATGAATGATATTGCTATATTTTTTAAAAATAGAATTTTACGTGTTCTTTGAGCCCGAGATATATGTTCTTTTGCGTGATTGTGTTTGAGTCGTATGTTCTTTTATTCTATGTTTTTTTATCATTTTTTTTAACGTTACATAATTATGTTATCTAATGTATGTAGATTTAAAATGTTTTTTGTACTTGAATGATATGTACTTTTGGGTTCATGTTCACTTGCTTAAATAATTACTCCCTTCATCTCTAATTTTTATTTTACCCCATTGCAAATATATGGGTCAAATCCTAAAAACTTTGACCACAAATAATTCTCGTTAATGTATAAGAAATAATTTAGTTATGCGAAATCTTGTTGGATTCGTGTCATTGTATATTTTATTAATATCAACTTTTTATACTACCTCCGTTTCATATTATTTGCAGCGATTAGACATTTTATACTCACATTTTATATCAAATCGTTGGAAATAATATGAAATGAAGGTAGTAATTTTTATGAAAATGTAGATACAAGCGTGTTAGACGTTTCTTGGAGACCATAAATTAGGGATGGAAGGAGTATTATGTTCTTTTGGGGATCATGTTCTTTAGTTTTATTTTTTACTACCTCCATTTTTTTAAAGTTCAACTTAATTACCATATATGTAACACCCCCAAATCTCCCTCTACAAAAATACCAGTATAATACGTATAATTATACCGTAGAGATAGACTTAGGCATATTACCGCCGCGTGATTACGCAAGGCTACCAAAACTACTAACCAAAACCAATACCTTGCAGCGGAAACTCAAACTCTTTCTTTATTAATAATAGATATAAATAGAACCACTGTCATGAGTACTCATAAATAAACAAGGACCAACATTCCTAATCTAGGTGAAGAACAACCCGAGAGTCCCATATGCTCAAATATTGACTCCACATGAAAATAGTCAACACTGGTTACCAATAAGGTAAATAGGATGAACCAAAACAAATAGGAAATACGGATTAGCAAAATAAGCTAAGTACGATAAGTGCAAGATAAGTAAACTCAATTTATTTGCAAACATGTTTTTAAAAACCAATCCCAATGTTAATCCAATAATTCCAAACTTATAATTTCAAAACCAATTCCAATAATTCAATATTTCAAATAATTCATTAATAAAAACCAATTCCTCTTTTAAAATCCAATTCCTCACCCAAGTATACACACACCCCCCCAAGCTAGTTTCCTACTATTTCAAGGCTATTCTTGAGGAAAGACTTGGTCATGCGAAGTCCAAAATCTTATCAACCAAATTCGCATAGTGGGATTGCTATCAACATGCTTGTAAAACTTTAAAAATAATAATAAATCAATAAATCCTTTTCAAATTCAAGAATTCCAATATAATTCAAAACTCCTTTTATTTAACTCCTCATGCTTTTAAAATCAAACCCTTTAAACATAATAAATAATTTTAATTATTCAAAACATGATATGAAAAATCAATCCTCCAATTTATTTATCAAAACCAATTATTTAAAACATGCTTTTATTTCATAAATCATAATTCAATCATCATAAAAATCATATAAAACATGCTTATTCAATCCAATCAATTTCAAAGGTATCTAGCCACCTAAACGTATCTTTGATCCTTGCTAGCAACAAAAGGAACTTTCAAGAACTTCGATCAAACACACCCTACAAATAAATATAACCTTAATTAATATAAGGTTAACAAATAATCACAACAATTAAATTAAAAACCCCCAACTATATGTACATGAACCTTTTAAATTATTTTTCATAACTTGAATTAAAAATCTGATTTTATTTAATTAAAACTACTCATAATAATTTTATAAATTTCCCATAATAATAATAATTAATTAAATAAGAGAAGAGAAGAAGAAGAGGTAGAAAACCAAGGGAAAGGGGAGAAGAAGATGGCGGCAAGGGCGGAAATTGGTGGCTGTCGTGGCTGTGGTCGGCGGCAAGTGGCAGCCGGAGGTGGTGGTTGTGGTGTTTGGTGGTGGTGGTTGGTGCAAGAACAAGTGGAAAGGAAGAGAATTAGAGAGAAATTAAGAGAGAATTAGAGAGTTTTGGTGTGAGTGTTTAGCCATGAATCAAGGGGTATTTATAGGCTAGCTCATGCAAGAATTATGGTAGGAGAATGTAGGAAAAATTATGGTAAAAAGAATTAAGAAAACTACTTGGAGAAGAGAGTTTAAGAATTATGGAAAGTTTAATAATAAGGTGACTAAGAATAATAAAATTAAGAAAAGTATGTTGTCATGAAAAATAATATGGAAAAAGGAGTTTGCTTGGGGAATAATCAAGGATGATAAAAGGTATGGAAATAAGATGATCAAATATTTAGAGGATGGGAAATAAGCATTAAGGAAAATAATAGATTTAAGGGAGATAATTAAAAATACAAA